TTAGGGTTTAGGGTTCAGGGTGCTACTTTCAGTTCGACATCATGCAGCGGCAAGAAGCCAGATGCTGAACGACAGACGGGAGTATCACCTAAACTCGCTTTTGCTCTCCATACTATCGCATCCCCTTCATCCACGGCACAGTGTTCGCCCTCGCAGCGTAACCCTGATCAACCAGTGCACACCGAAAACCCCCTAANNAACCCTAAACCCTAAACCGGAGCTCATTTTCTCAGCACAGACGGCACCAATTTCGCAGCACGGGGCCTTGATGTCGCTCTGGTGGCCGTTTGTAACCCTCGTAGTAACCCTTTTCGTAACGCTTTTGGGTAACCCGTTTAGTGACCCCTTTCGAAACCCTTAAAGGCACCCTTGTGGGCGCGCTTTCTGGAACCCGGTGCCAACTACGGTGCGCCTTCGTGTCTCGCCCCCTTGCCGCCCGAACGTCGGGACACGCAAGGAGCATGTGGCTTGGAGTCTCCACTCTGATACGCCTATCTGCAAACTCTGAACTTGTCTGACATAGAGGCCTTTGATGATTGTAGCAGACTAGCATAAAAGGCATGAGGGTATATAAGATCAAGCTTATAAAGGCACTGAAAGGGGACACTGGCACTGATTATGCAGACCTCTGCACAAGCCCCGGGTGACGCCATCCCATGATGAGGCCAATGGATCTGAGGTCCCCAAAAACGTCCGTGGTCAAAAGCACCTGCCCAAACCCTGGGATGGGAATTAGGCTTTAGGGTTTAGGGTTATGGCTACTCCTGCTGTGGGGGGAGGAGGGGTTGCGGGTGAGCAGTGGTATAGTAGTGATTCTCTTCGGGCAGGACGGCATGAGCTCTTGTTCTGTTTCTTCGGCATCTGGTAAAGCACAGAAGGGACAGCAGGTTTAGGGCCGTTTGGGGTTTCTGGTTGCTCGACAAAGCGACGCCACAGCCCATCCAAAGCCCGAGAAAAAAAGGGATCTCAGATGCGCCACCATCTGCACAATTGCAGCCAACAGACCATGGCGTTTGATGGCGGTAAGATTTTTTTATCAGGACAAGGACAAGCTGGCGGCAACGCAGCGCTTCTGCATCCATTTTTGGATGACGACCGATGTCTGCGCGTGTCATGGAGCTTGCACGAAGACCTTTCTGTCGATTTGCACTCCGCCTCATGAGCATCCCCATATCTTTTTCAGGCAGCGGAGTTGTTTGCAACAAGGCGGTGAAGGAGGCCCAGCGAAATTGTGGGCTGCGGAAGCTCTTGGTGCTGCAATGCTGCAATGGAAGGAGCCACATTGTCCATAGTGTTCAGCACGTGTGCAGGAGCTGTGGAAATTTGAAAGGGCCCTCCACAACTACCGCAAACGTTCCTCTCGAAGTGTGGTAAGCTTTTCTAAAGGCTTTTCAGAACAGAAACCTGCGGCCGACGGGTGGAAAGCTTTTGCAAGGTCGTAAGCGCCTCCTGGTGACATCACCTGTCCACGCGGGCTTTGTACTGCACCGCACCGACACTGGTATGCGACTGCCGTGGAGAGCAGGTAGCATGCTAGATGTATGCCCCATTCCGGTCGGAGGATGTGGTAGCACGCATCGATCAAACCACCTTGCTTGCAAGTATCATTGAATTCAATCCCGTTGTGTAAGGTTGTCACCCAACCGTCAACCCCGACGGTCCACAGGCTGCCTGTACGCTTCACAGGCTTTTACACCTAAACGAATCGTCTGCAAGGCTACCTTTAGTGATCTGGGCCACGGCGTCAGCAGGTTACTGCTCAGGGGTTGGGGCGTTGATGTCGATGTTTATGTACAGACTTCACGAAGCCTCCACAAAGGCCAGGTGGCCGAAGACGCACCATAGCAAAGCCTATCCTATCAGAGGAGTCGGAAAATCATTCGAGCGGGGAGGCGTTCGGCTGGAGCCGGTGGAGCACCGATGGAAGGAACCATCGGCCCCCTCAGTTCACCTCCGGCTGGCATGACTTCGTCAGCCAGAGAAAAAGCCTCTCTTCGACCAGTGTGCTCACCAGCTGGGGCTGTCTAGGTGTGCCAAACGAAGGCCGCAAGCACCACCCACGTCGCCGCCGAACAGGCGGATCCAAGCCAGGTGTCCTGAAGAATGATCATCCACACGGCCTCTGCCACGAGGTAGAGAGCAAACAGAAAGCTGCCAGCAAGTGCAAGTGCCTCGACGAGAAGGCAAGGGTGTAATGAACGGGGCTCTACACCACATGTTTGATTACAACCCGAAACATTGAACCCTGAACCCAACCGCTAGGCTAGCAACGAGAGTTCGGCAAACAGTTGACCCTGGCGGCGACGACGACGACGACGACGACTACTACTAATACTAATACTAATACTAATACTAATACTAATACTAATACTAATACTAATACGAATACTAATACTAATACTAATACTAATACTAATACTAATACTATTGCTATTACTACTACTACTACTACTACTACGACTACTACTACTACTACTACTACTACTACTACTACTCCCTTCTACTGGTACCTTCTACTGGTACTACTCGGCTTCTTCGTACTACTAGTACTACTCTTGCTACGAGTACTACTAATACTACGAGTATTGCTCATACCACTAGTAATACTAGTACTATTGGTACTAGCACTAACACTAGTCCTAGTCCTAGTACTATCACTACCACTACTTCTTCTGAGGACCTTTACTACAGTTTGAAGGCTGGTGCTTCCAAAGATATCAGCCGCAGAGGCCTTGCCTTTCGCCCAACTTCTACCTTTAAGCAAACCTTCAAGCTGCCAGGACCAACCCATAAATCCCAATGGCCTCAACTGAGACCACAAACACCTTCACATGCTCCCTCCCCCAAGGCCCTACACGTCCCAAAACTCCAAACCCTGAGCTCAGAACCCTAGACCTAAACCCTAAACCTAAACCTAAACCCTAAACGACCCTAAAATCTAATCCCTAACGGCCCTAAAAGCCGGAGCAAGCAAAACGTAACGGCCTCAAACCCTCCAAAACCCGGGGGCCGCTGGACCCTAAGACTCTGGTTTGGGGTTTAGGGCTTAGGGTTTAGGGTTTAGGGTTTAGGGTTTAGGGTTTAGGGTTTAGGGTTTAGGGTTTAGGGTTTAGGGTTTAGGGTTTAGGGTTTCGGGTTTACGCCGAACGTCCCTGCAAACCCCTAGCCTTAGTTAAACCCCGAAATTAGGGTTTGGGGCTTAGGATTTGAGGCCCTAAACCTCTGGACCCTACGAAGACCCCTAAACTCCCTAAAGCCTCCCTTAAACCCTAAACCCTAAACCCCTAAACCCTACGCCCCTAAACCCTAAAAACCCCGAAACCCCGAAACCCCTAAACCCTAAACTCCCTAGAGCCCGCTGAACTCTCTGCACAGGTACAAGGTTGACTAAGACATCACAGTGAAGCTGGCGACGCTGCTGGCGCATGAGATGCGCAAGCTTCAACCTTGGGGCTGGGGTTTAGCGGTTTAGGGTTTAGGGGTGCTTCGGGTTT